GAGAGAGAGAGAGAGAAATGAAGTAGGTCGTGGTGTCAAGGCGACGCGAAGGTCGTCGAAACACCGAAAACAACTGATTCGACCATATATATATATATATATTATTCCAATTGCTCGAATAAGAGCGAGCCAAGGGTCGCGAGATTCGGGTAACCTTGGAACGACCTTGACGAGCTTCTATTCGACCCACACGTTCGGTTTTCCAGATACATAGCTATTTATAGGCGAAACCAGTTCGTCGTATGCGAATCCACTCTCGTCCGTGTACATCTTTGGACGAGAGGAGATCTAAACCACTTTCCCAGAAAGAATTCCCGAGCAGCGAAAAGTCGATCGGGGGAGGAAATTTCGAAAAAAAAAAATCTCGATTCGCTCGAGGTATGAATTATCGAGAGCCGCCCGCTCCAGCGGGGAACAAGGTCATGCGCTGTTCGAGCTTTGTTTCATCGAATCGCTCCTCCACACCCCTCCTTCCCCCACCCCCTTCAGAAGATCGACATTCGTTCCACCCTGTAGATCGATGTCGCGGCCGTTGCTTCCGCTGCTATTTTCGGCGGACAACGGCGCTGCCAGGCCGAGAAAATGGAAAATGTTTATTCCATTTGGGAGAATGTGAAAACGGTCTAGATCGTTCTGCGTTCACCTTTCAACAAAGAAACGCGCACGTGCCAGCTCTGTTTTACTTTTTCGGATTTCCAGTTCGTTTATCGAATTAGTCACCATAAATGTGCGATACTTTTATTTTCTTGAAAAAATATATATATATATATATATATTATCTCGTTACTTGTACATAGCGAATAAAAATTACGGAAGAGCGTCGTCTCCGATTATCGTTTCTATTCCAATATTCGAAAACTTGACATTTCACGTTTGACATTCACCCTTTTCCCTTTCCCGATCCATCCACGAAGTTCCAAATCTTTCACACCCACGAAACGTCGTTCATTTTTCACGAGCAAAAAGAGAGGAGGAAAGAGAGAGAGAAAAAAAAAAGGATTCCACGTGGAACGTTTCCTCTCGAGTCAAGGGGACGCGCACGAGCACGAAGCAAGGTCCCCTTCCCCTCCTAAGCAATTGCACCTGTTCTCGAGCGAGACGAATAACACGTTCTCTCGTCGAAATCTATCTGTCTTGCGAAATATATATAGATCGGCGTTTAGAAACGTTTCTAACGTTCTCCCGCAACGGAGGGGAAGAGGGGCCAGGTTATTCCGCGAGGACAAATCGAATCGGTCGCCTATTGGCAGGGAAAGCCAAGGTAGGCGAGGGATAATCGCTCGCAGGTGTATGCGTTGCGAAACGGATCTGCAACCGGTGTTGGTCGGTCCGCGGGCGAAATAATTCCTCGGCTTCCGATCGTTTCGAGAAGAAAAGAAAAGAAAAAGGAAAAGAGAGAGAGAGAGAGAAAGAGAAAAAATTATCCCCGAGAAGGGGATAAATTGGCATCTCGGCTGTTGTTTAGGGAGGAATTAAGCGTGGAACTAAGCGAAATTTAATGGCCGTTTCGTAACTTCGTCCAGCGCCGCTTACGTAAACCGCTTTGACGGCAACGAGTTCTCGAACGAAACGAGTGGAAGCGTTATATAGAGAGGCCGATCAACAGATGGAAAACGTTGCTCTTCCGCTTTTACTTTTTCGCGGGCATCGTGGCGGAACGGCCGCTTTCTTGCCGTCGAGATAGACAGCTGTTGTTGTTGTTGTTTCGAGGGATTTAACGCTATTTAGTAATTTAATAACGGTAATTTGTTCTCGCGTGCCGGCGTGAAAGTGTTAAATTAGAGAACGGATGCAGTTTAAAAAATCGTTAGGAAAAATCGTTGCGCCAACGATACAGAAGAAGATCTTGAACGAGAAAACGATCGATTCGACCAGCTCCATTTCTTTTCCCAATCGTATCTTATCTCTCCCTGTCGCGATCGCTGTTCCATTTAATATTATCAAAAAGGATACATTTGCGAAAGAAACTCCATTCTTCGAGGATCTTCTCTTAACCAAAGACACCGTTGAGGGGCGAACTCGGCGGCAAACAGTGATGACGTCAAAATCTCGTTACTTTATCGAGGCCTCCGCATCGATGATCGCTCGATTCGCTCGAGGCAACGTCTGCGAGCGCATCGTCGATCACCTATCCCCTCACCCTCTTCTCGGGAATTTCGTATTCGAGTGCGACGGACGGAGCTTGAATGTCAACTACTCCGCCTCCGCGGATGTAAACGAGCAGGGCAGCGCCAATATATGCTCGCTCGAGGCGATCTCACAGATATTCGTCATCGTTGAAAATTGTTGGAAAAAAATTGAAAATCGACGGACCTTAATTAACCACTCGACCCAACCAGAAATCTCGATAATCGATTTCTATATCGCGTATGTTCCCTCGGCTCTAGCTTCGTAACCTCGTTGCACGTTGGACGCTCGTAACTTTGCATACCGGTGCTCGCTTTCTCTGGCTCGCAGGCACCAAGCCAAAGCGTTCGCAAAGCGACTCGTTCGGATCGGCAAAAAGACGGAAGATCGCTTAATAGAGTCACGAGAGGCGACACCGATAAATCGACTTTAACGAACCCCGACTTTGTCCATTGACGGGTTCGAGGAATCGCGGGGGATAACACGCTTCTGGGCGTAGTTTGACCCAAATCCCAAAGGCAAGTTACCACGATTGCCCGAACGACCGTTCGACCCCGAATCGACAACTATCCTCCTCAACGTGCGCGATGCACCGCGCTTCTCTTCTTCGCGCAAGTGGAGCAGATCGTCGCTCGAACGCGCTCGAACAAACGCCTCGTCGAGAGGAGGAAGGAAAAAACAGAGAGAGAGAGAGGAGAGAGAAAACAGAGGACGCGTGCGTGCGCGAACTTGGACGATGGACGTAGATATCGCTCGTCTGGGATAAACGGTAAATTACCAGCACTCCGCTTTCCAATTAGTCTTCAATTACGCGGGGACGAGTTGGACGACGGCACGCGTCCAGCCGACGTTTAACCGCTAAACGACGGGTTCCTCTCTCTCTCTCTCTCTCGGACGAGCTCTATCCGTCGTCCATCTCGCAATTAGTTCGAGGAAAAGTTTGCCCCGCGAATTGATTAATTCGATTCGCGAGACGAGAAAGCGCGCGGATCCGACGCACGGTGGAGATGGGTCAGATAAGGGGAATCGATTAGGCGATAGGCGAGGATAGGCGAGATTTATCGAACGAGAGGTGAACGCGAGAGAGAAGGAGAGTTTGAGAGATACGGATAGTCGCTAGCTTCGCGAGCTATCTTTGCACAATTAAATATTTACGTAACGTCCGCGCAAGATGGCGACGCGTTTGTTTGAATGAGACGCGTTCCATTTACCTTCTGGTGAATCGCTTTGTTTGAAAAACGTTTGATTTGGAAAAATATCTGTAGGAATGCGTTTAAGACGGAGGGTTTAACGACGAGATTGATTCGAAGAAGAAGAAGAAACGAAGAAGATGGATTTGTCGATGGACGATTCTCTCGACGAGTTTCTTCTTCTTTTTCCCCCTTTTCCCCTCGAGCGTTTAGATTTAATGTTAGGTTTAACTGCCGCTACCTGTATTCACTCGAATAACGTTATGGCTGGTGCCACTCGAGTGTTTCATTCGCTTCGCTAATTGCAATTTGCACGTTTGGACGAACGTTCGCATTATTTATGACCAGTTTTCTCCTCGCAATTATATATCGTGTTCCAACATCTTATACGCAAAATTCTCCTTAGCTAAGGCTAAGTTATATTTACGTGGCCATTGAAAAGCCCGACACACAACGGTGCATTCTATAAATCCTCTCCTCGCTCGTTATCAGTGATCTAGCCAAAGCTTAACGTAAATATTTACTTAGTTCCTGATCATTCGTAATTCACGTGAATCGCTTAATTCCTCGAATTATTACGCGATAAATATTATTTATTTAAATCGTATCATCATTACCCTGTTTCGTATTTTTCTTTTCCTTTCCATTCTGTTTATCGTATAATAATA